AGATAAATACCTTTTAAATAATTCCAGACTTTTATTTCTGACACCAATCTCTTCCAGAGATTCTAGTAGCATATCGTGATATACCACATCGAAGGCTCTGGATAAGTCTAAGAAAACGCAAAGACATGGTTTACTCTCACGCGGTATATATATACGAGCCCCTTCCCATTTCAGTTGGCCCACCTATTAATATTTTCTTTATATAACGACAATAAGAAAGTATTAAAGATTACATGCTTTTTTAAATCATAAATTAATTAACAATGCATTAATTTAGAATTATATTAGAACTAGAACTAGAAAACATCAATTTTTTTATTTATTTTTAAATTTATTAACACATGGAGCATTATTGCATTATTTCAACTTGAATTCAATGCGTTAGAAAATAAACCAAAATGGAAGGTAGCTTTGAAAAAATAACAAACAATAATGCAAAAAACTGTCACAAGACAATTTAACCTCTTTTAAGCTAATTCTGTCTAATAAAATGGGTAGAGGAAAAATCATTGACGAAAAAATACGTTTTCTTGTTATAAAACATTGCAATTCTGGAAAATCGAACTCGGAAATTGCAAATATATTAGATTTATTACGATAATATAGTGTAAGAAATATAGTTAGAAGATACAAAACTACTGGTTCAATCAGCCCAAAGCCCCGTCATGTTAGAAAAAGCAAGATTACAAATGCCGATAGACGAGCATTGAGAAGAATTATTGAAACTAACCGTCGTGCTAATTACCTTGAATTAAGTGCTCAGTGGAGTGATGCTGTTGGAAGACGAATTTCATGTCATAGAGAAGCTCGCAAATTGGGATTTGGGACTTACAAAGTAAGTTTATAATAATAAAAACAATAAAAAACATGGATTGAAGACACTAAAACAATCAAATATGTTTGCTTAAAATTGACAATTTTGTTACAGGTTAAAGAAAAACCACTACTAACTGCGAAACAGAAAAAAAATCGATTAAGATGGTCAAAAGAACATATGAGTTGGACTTCTCATCAATGCGATGCAATACAATGTAGTGACGAGGCCCGATACGAAGTTTGTGTTGGAGATAGCAGAAGTCGAGTTATTCGCAAAAAACATGAAGCGTTCCATCCAGACTGTCTCAAAAGAAAAGTAAAATTTCCCGCATCGGTCATGGTCTGGGGCAGCATGTCATCTAGAGGAATAGGGAAATTGCATTTTATTGAAGGAATTGTAAATACAAATAAATATTTGGACATTTTGGATGAATCACTTTTACTGACTATGGAATTATATTTGACATCAGGGTAAGATTTTGTATTTCAACAGGATGGAGCAGGGTGTCACACGTCAAAAAAAGTTCTAAAATGGATGGAAGACTTCGGTGTTCCACTTTTGGAATGGGTTTCTAGTAGTCCTGATTTATCACCAATAGAAACATTGTGGCATGAGATGAAGAAGGTACTTCGAAAACATCCTGCAAGAACAATACCTGAACTTAAACAAAAACTTCAAGATATATGGGATTCATTTACACCAGAATTTTGCCAAGGCTTAGTTAATAGGGACCGTGCGTCATGACTTTAACGCTAACTGGTGACAAAAATGTGAACTTTTTGGGGGGTATTTATTAATGTTTTATGCGGCATTTATTGTTTAATAATTATTAATAAAATGAAGTCGAATTATTTTCGTAATATCAATATCGAAAAAACTTGTTGCATCCGTGGATGTACAAACACATCACTTTAGAAACCTGGATTTCATTCGATAGTAAAGAAATTTTATAAATTTCCACAGAGCACAATTATGCCTCACACCCAATGATATACATAATTATAAAGATTGCTTATCCATATGTAAATCAGACGACGAAAAGCGTATTTCACTGGGCAAAGTTTTCTTTTTATCTAGCTTGTATCAATTTTGAGCACTTAGTTGTAAAGAAATCATTTACAGAAAAATTAGAATCTTTAGTGTTTTCTTGTCATTAAGATTTTTACATATTTAAATGACCATTTTATATAAATATAATTTTACAGATAATGATTTATTCTGTTGATTAAAACTAATGTAGAATGTTATGAAATAAGAATATCCAATTTGACAAAAATATCACGGCCCTCTTTACAATTTATTAACTATTTCTCATTTATTATTAAAATAAACAAATCATAAATAATACATTGCAATTACTGTCAAAAGAGATTGTAACAAACTTTAAAATATTAAAAATCCAGTGATTTTTTGTAAATTTTTTTAGTGACATTACCATTAAACATTATTCAGAATAATAGATAAGTGTCCAATTACAACTCTTACCAAAGTTGTTCATACCTCATATCAAAATTGTTTACATTACCTTTTCAAAATTGTATTACATATTGCAATTATGTATTTTATGTAGAATTGTTTCTGAAATAGTAGTCTAAAATTATTTATATCCATCTGTTATAAAAATTGTTTAGATCTCTTAATATTATTTAACTACATGAAAACTCAACTTTCCAAATACATAATGATATTCTTGAAGTAAAACTTTAATTATTATCTTTTTCTAAAGATTAAAATGCTGAAATTTTATTTTAACACATTTGGGCTAGAACGGCTCTATTTAGTGAGCACTAGGAAAGGCACATTGCAACCAGCTTTTCATAATTTTTTTTATAGTTGGGTGAGCAATCTATAATATATGTATCATTGAACATCTCATAAACGCCAGTGGATGAATGACATTTCGATTAACATAAAGCTAAAAAGATTTATAATTATTATTATCAATCTTTTTTATTAATTTACATTTTTTAAATGTTATTGTAATACTTTTAAATTCAGTGTTACTAAATACCTATATTTTAACATTGGATACACTTGTTTAAGGTACAACTTTACAATTTATTGTCACTTAGCCATTTAAATCTTTTTGCTTAAAATGTATATGCATGTCCAGATTTTAATAATGTTTCACATTTTACGTCATTTTGACCATGTACACGATTGTTTGGTACGGGCCGGTATCTATTTTTAACTATATTTAATATTTAAAAAAATACCTTTCATTATTTACTTGCAATGTTTACCCCATTTAATTCTAAAATTAAACACTAGAGAGGGCTAAGTTCGGCAGTAGTGCTGCCTCTATATTTCACGCACGGTCCCTATACCATGCCGCAAAAAATTGCAGCTGTAATAAAAAATAAAGGTGACGTTACTCAATGGTAAACTTTAAAATTGATTAACGTTTGATTCCAACTATTTGTTTATTTTTTTTTAATTTTATATTAAATAAATATTTTAATGTTTTCTACATATTTTTTATGATTAAACGATATTAAACCTATTGTTCAATGAATAAAAATTGGAAAGTTCATGCAATATTTATATTTTTAATCTTTAAATACGAATTTCCTAAATTTCAATAGGTGGGCCAACTGAAATGGGAAGGGGCTCGTATATATATTTTGGTTGTCAGTTCTAAAACTGCATCTTGTGTTGACTGGCCCTCCTTAAATCCCAACTGATGTTCTGAGATTACGTTATATTTTTTGATGAAGGAGGTTAATCTATTTTTTAATAAAGTTTCAAATATTTTAGAGATGTGCGGGATGAGAGAAATCGGTCTGTAATTAGATACTTCGGTTTTATCACCCTTCTTGTATATTGGTATCACAAGAGATGTTTTAAAACATGATGGCCATATACCATTATCTAAACATTTCTTATTATATATGTTACGGTCAAAGATGATATTGGCCGGTCATTTTCATAAATCTCCTATTTGATTGGGCATTCTGCTGACGTTACTGTCCGGTCAATATCGTCAGTGCCCAATTTACAACACTGCCTATAACATATACATAAGTGGGTCGATAATATATTCGACCATTTGTAAGCGTTCACTATTAACCCAGCTAGCACATAACGTTGGCAAGCCTTTCGGCGATGTTGTTTTAAGGGAATGTAATAACTTTACTATACAACGTAAATGCACCGTTAATGAGAAGTTATTAAGGGAAATCAAAACCTCGCAAAACTTCTATTTGTTACTTACTTATTTAACCTACCTGTTATGATAACACAACGTCATAAAGAAATTTGATAAAAAAGTATCCACGAGAAGTACTGTGAACATCATATTGTTTCGAACGTAGCCATTCGTTTATCATAAGTCTTAACATAACCAACAAAACATAAAGAAATGTCACTTGCCACTTTTTCTTGTGGCATGTGTCTGAGATTTTAAAGAAATTGTAAACTATTTATACGTTTAATAAGTTTGGTAAGTTCTTAAGTGTAAAGGTTAAAGAAAAGGTCCTTTATTTCTTTACCTTTACCTTTACCTTTACACTTAATCCCTACTACTCACATATGGCTACCCTCACTCCAAATTGGTAAGTTCTTTTTTTTTTTTTTTTCAATAAAATAGAAGCATATTTTCTAATTTATTGTCTGTTATTTTAGATTGTAATATTTCAGTTTCCAACTACAATCAAAAATAAATCATTATAAACGAGAAGATAAAATTAAATCACTGCCTACATTTTACACGATAATAGGAATTTTATCGATGCCTCGATACTATAGAAGTAACGATATTAAACAATGAAAGTATCGATATTAAGGCATTGATACTGAATTACCAATACTATCGCCGTAAGGATACTTAGAAGCAAATATCGCATCACTATGTGTGCGAGTGTGCTCAGGGTCACATAGGATAATATAAGGTTTGTTAAAATAAGCGTGAAATCCGTAATATTAGAGAGTTATTGCCACATCTCAAAAGAATAGCACTAACCTTATTGTGACAGTTACGCATGCGTACTTTAGAACGAAGGAAAATAGTGCTAAATTTGAATACTGTATTACAGTATTTTATGTCGAATTAGGATAGTGCCAAAACCAAATACTGTATTTTCATCGGGAATGTCCGAGATGCATCGTGAATAATTCGGCACCAAAGTAAATGTTCTGTGGGTACAGAACAGACAAACACCGAGTTTTCGACTTTTTTGCCATTTGTCTTCTTTCTTGTTTAGAGTGTTTATGGTTGTTTGTTGTTTATTCGTTTGAGGTTATTTTTTTCCATTTTTGGTAGTGCATTTGCTGTGTTTTTAGTATAATTATTTTTCTTTGTTTAATTTTTAATAGATTAGAATATTTATAGGATAAATTAATTGTAGATTTGTTTTTAATTCAATCTTAGCTTTTATTTTTATAGATAGGTTAGGTTAGCATTTAATTTTTGTATTTATATTTCATTTTATAAAAACATGAACAAAAACGTCAGGCTGCGCTTTACATCTAACGACGAAATTGTCCTATTACGGGAGGTATTGGCACAAAATCCGTTTGAGGACCCAAAGAAATGGACCACTATTAAGGACAATATTGTCAATGTAACAAATAAATCATTTTCACTAAGAACCTTAAAAAATCATTTTGATGTTCTGCTATTAAACTGGCTGAGAAAAGACAAGGCTAATAGAAATAAGTAAGTCTCACTAGATTATTTATTTTACAAGTTATTCATGCCCTGTATGTTTCTCCTGTATTGTAGATCTGGAATTGAAGAAACCTACACGGAAGCTGATGTACTTTTGCAGGAGCTGTATGACCTCTCCCAAGTGTGCAATAGGCAAAAAATATCGACCAGTAGTATTGAGGATGGGAAAGCAATCCGAGAGTTAGCTGTGACTGCTCAAATAGAGAATAAGGAAAATAATGAGGTCATTGAAAGAGACCATGATTATTGTAAGTAACCGTTTTATAATTTCACAAAATGAATACATAAATAATATATGTCAATACATTTTTAGGGACCATGGATGATGATATTGCTGCAGAAGTGGAGGTCAGACAAGACAAGTCTCTAATATTGGACCTGGATGTTTCTGCAGATATCATAAAAGTATTAAATACATCAACACCTTCTCAGGCAACAGCTGTTAAAACCGATGCAAGAAATACTTTAACAAGAAGGAACATTTTAGGTATTTATTTATATTTAAATCACCTTATATTTTAATATTACCTTCAGTACTGAATAGCCCTGAATGTATTATTTTCGTTTTACAAACCTAAATATCCTATTTATATTTTAGTGCCAAAAAAAACCAGAAGGACTGATAAACCTGTTAAAGGAAATGCCTTAGATTTTTTAAATAAAAAAGGAGCTGCAGATAATGAGATTAAATTAAGAGAATTAGAATTGGAAGAAAGGAAACTTAAACTGGAAGAGTATAAATTAAAATTAGAGGAAAGGAAAATTAAGATACAAGAAGAACAGTTGCAATTTGATTTTGTAGAAAAGAGAAGAAAGTTGGAAATGGAAGGCGAAAAACACCAAGTAGAAGTAGACGAACGCAAGCAAATGCATGAGGTTATAAGGATGCAGAATAATTTATTACAAAATCTATTGCTAGAAATAAAAAAAAAAATGAATAAACTTGCTGATTTTAAAGATTATTTTAAATTTTTTATGTAGTTTAATGTTTAAAATACAATAACAATAAAAAACCTTTATTTGGAAAAAAATATTTTATTTGGAACAGATATTAATAATTAAAGTGCTACATATTCAAATGTTTATACAATAAATAACCTATATTCAACAAAATAAGATATAAAATAAATTATAATAATAGCTTTTATTGGCAAAACTAAGTACCTAATACAAAAAAAAATATAAATACAAATATTTTGCCAAATGGCAAAGCTATTTTCATGTCAAACATGGTTTCTAATTGTTAACTCTTAAGTATGTCTCGAGATTTGGTGGTAAGGTGTCAAAATATTGGGCCGTTTCACTACTATATAGGCAGGTGTGACAATTTGTTAAAAGAACTGCTATTTTGTAAAATTTTTCAACATCTTGCAGTTGAATTTTTTGATTTTTTTTATAATCAACAAAAGCAAAAAGTGCCAAAACTTTTTGAAATCCCCATTCCACTGACTGTCTGACAGAACTCATGGATATATTAAAATTTTCTTGAGCAGGAGTCAGAATACGGTTGCTAAAAGGACATATTAAAAGTTCTCTTATGCCATAGGCCTGATCACCATATATGACATACCTTTCCCCATTTGGAAAAATAGCCAATGCTTCCAATTCCTGATAGAGGTTAGACTCCCGAAAAATCCCAGCATCATGCCTTCTTCCAGGATAAGCCCCCTTGAGATTGACAATCAAACCATCTGGAGTAAGCAGAGACTGGTATTTAACACAGTGATGTCGTTTATGACCAGAAAAATATTCTCGCTGATCATCAGTTGGCCGACAGATAGCTCTTGTTGTTCCATCAATAAATCCCCAACAAGTATTTAAAGCAGCCCCTTTGTTAAAAATGGCCTAAAACATAAAGAGTCACATTACTTGCATTGCATTGAAGATAATACCTCTTTTTATTTTGTAATAATATATGACAAACCAAAACATTGTAAGTTTCAAAATATTTTTAAGGGAAGATATTAAACCTTCCAGGGTTTGAACCTAACATTTTGGTCAAAATGAATGTTGGGGGCTCTGACACTTATTACAATATTTTGGTTTTATATATTAAGTATATATAAAAGATATCTTACTTGGGCATAATACTGCAACTTTTCTTGATTTAGCCATGGTGCATTTTGTAAATGTTCCAAAAGATGGCCATTATTTTCCAATATTATATCTGTCACTTTATTAAGGATTTGTGAAAGAGATTGTGAAGACAGTCCAAAAATATTCTCTAAATCTGATAACCGATTGGGGTATGCTAGCCTCCTCAATAATATGCACAAACCATTTATACCTGAAATATAATAAATTAGGCAATATATTAATGAGAGTGGGAACAATAAATCTTGCCAAGTTGCATTCTCGATCATGATAGCGATTGCTCGGCACGGCACCTGCTCCAGTGCGGAGGCTCGGCAGGTAATCGGATATCCAAAAACCACAATAAATACAAATATTGCCAACAGTAAATTTTAAAATATCTTTAATGTTATTGGTTGTTTCGAAATATTCGTGAACTTAATATCAGACATACGTGAAACTACTATTTCCATGGGAATGTCTATTCCGACACGTTCGAGAATTGCATAACCTATTACCATGGGAATATAAGTAGTGGAATATTTTCTCATGGGAAAATTTTCCAATGATTTCGAGAATCTAGCCCCAGGTAGAGTACCAGTAGAGAAAGAAAAGGTGTCATTAACAACTGTCAACTACAGAATACTTTACTGATGCAAATCTTGTTAAGTTCCCCGCTTCGCCCTGTCGAATGGAGGTTGTCAGCCGTTTAAAAAAATATTTTACTTGTTTAATACTTTGTTACTCAATACTTATAAATATGGATATCTTTAACATAATATCGAACACTATCGATGCATCTACCACAAAGTATTTCACATGATACCGGTATCAATACCTTCGACCGATACTCCTAACCCTACTCTCAAGTATAAAAATACAAAAATATAGAAGTCATATACTGTCGTCCTAGCAAGAAAGGTCCTATCTGAAAATTTGTTTCGAAATTATCGAGTTTTTAACTATTTTTAGCAGACATATTTATTATCTTTTAAACCTTTTTTGTGTAACTTTTTAACATTTTAGTACCTTTACGATGCAAATAAGACATTCCGTTTCGGTATCAAGAAAGATAAAATGTAGACAAATGCACATAAATAAAAAAACTGCTAATTTTGCAGATACAACCTTTCTTGCTAGGACGGTTGTATAGTTGTGCTCATGTAGTTCACTAAAGATAAATAACATGTTAATTTGTTACGTGTCAGTAAATTAAGTGGATAAATACAGCATTTCACTGGCCATATACTTTTGCCGTTTTGCTGTACGCTTGCTGCACAATATCAAATGCTGTACAATACAGCAAAATACTGTAACTATGGTCGCCCTAGTGTAATTATATTTTAATGTCTAAAAATACAATTTAAAAATATTATGTTGTAAGTTTCCTTTGTGCTGGAATATAATTCTAGTAAAAATCTCCGGAATTTTAGAAGCTAAAGTAAATAATACAGAATTGGTTAAATATAACATCTGAAATTATTTCTTTTTCTTTCACAACAGAATATCGTGAAAAACATTGTTTTTTATAAAAAGCTCTGTATAAGTTGGACATTTATTATTAAGCATCAAATTTGTAAAAATTAAAATAAATTTTATTATTTATTTAAAACAACAAAATAAGTAAAAAAACAACTAAAAATAGGTGCTACGATTTTTCATTTTCTTTATACATATTATTTTCTTTAATAATAGTTAAACAAGTAAATTTATTACCTCCAAAAAGGTATTTTTCACAGAAGAAACTATATAATTAAGTTCACATTTATATTGAAACTATGATTAGTACCAGTTGTAGGTAAATATCTTTTTCTTTAGCATCGTACAACTGCCATCTTAATAAAATCTAACGACCTTTGAAATATACCTTGTATAAATACACTTTTTACTACTTTTGTACAATGGTTCACCATTTTAGCTCGTAGTGAACCTTTGCAGTATAGGTACCTTAACACGTTAATCGCTCAAACACAAAAATATATTTTTTGTCCCCCGGGCCACAATATATTGTTTTCAATTGGTCATAGTATATGTTAGGAAATAATATATATTATTATAAAAAGTGATTTTTGGTCACTTAAAAATAAGAAAAAAACATTTTTAAAATGAGAACCGACATTTGGTTCTCAGTGCCCTAACATAGTTTTAGCCGTGTGATTCGTATGTGGATTCTCGCATTTACACATGTTTCAACTCGCTTTTTATGCTTGATGCAGTCCACAGTCGCGCGTTCATCCAAAATGTAGTGGCTTAGGCTTAGTCTATTCCGACACTTTGTTAGAGGTGGGGCTATAAAATATGAGTGGTGAATATGAAAGAAATTAGCAAAAATTGTGTAATTAAATACTGTCCGATTCTAAGGAGTTTCAGCTACTATTAGGAACATACTTGGTAAATGCATATATACTCTACAAAAAGGTAACCAAGGGTAATATATTCATCACTGGATTCAGGGAGCAAATAATTGAGAGTGTATTGAACGCCGATACTGTAGAACCAGCCGTAGATGCGTTGTTTGCTATGAGAAAATAAACAACGATGAAGGGCGGAAAAAGGCACAGTTGCAGGCACCAAAGTCAAGATTTCGCTGCCTAGAATACTCCAAATTTTACTGCTTATCATGTTTCTTTGATATTCATAAATGTCAAAAATACTTTATAATACTGACATATTTTTATCTTTTTCTGTACTTATTTGATGTAGTAATAAAGTAATTTCTATTTTGTATTCTATTCACAACACCGAACTAAATACTACAGGCCCAGATATTTTTTAGGACCTCCAGGGCTGGAACTCTGTGTCATGTAGAATTCTACTTATCGCTTTCTACAATAGATTCTTTTGTGGCACTCTGTGTAACATAGCGGAAAACCAACGAGTATATACTTACTACAGGATAACTAGTTTCATAAGAAACCACATTGCGATATTTCCCGTGCGGTTGATAACGTATTTTATCACAAAAGAAAGTAATCGATTCCATTGTAGAAAGCGATAAATAGAATTTTACTTACACAGAGTTCCAGCCCAGGCCCTACATTTTGATCTCATAGGTACCAACGCAATACGTGACTCATACAGTGGTTCACAGAGCCTAAAGCTATTACAAGTAGTGAAGTCCATGTTGTGTCACATGGCCCGAGTTGTTATTTAAGTTGAGAACCAAATGTCGGTTCACATGACGATTAACGTGTTAACATACTCTTTAGTGCAATCGTTCAGTGTTTGAGATATACCTTATATACCCTTTATACCTACTTTTGTCCAATTTTTCAGTGTTTTATAGCTGCCTTATGGTATTACACATGTCTAATTGTGTTACCTTTTGATATACCTATATTATTAATACCTATCTCTATTTGTATGATATTGGTACTTGATTTCAAAAGCTTTTTAATAATAAATTTATACAATTTTTTATTTTGTTTTATTCAGATTTTACTATATCCTCATTATACTATTTTATATATAGTGTATCCAAGGATAGACATAACTATACTTGTAAAAATATATATTTTAAATTTTTTAAAAAAGTAATTTTTCATAATTTTTCAGCGTTAATCGTATTTATTTAACAAGCAAAATAAATTATGAAGTACTTTTTAAAAAATTAAAATAAATAATTTTACAAGTATTGTTAAGTCCATCCTTGGACACACTGTATAATGTTGTAGAATGAATTCACATTATAACACCTATAAAACGTTTCAGAGCAACTTTCGGAGGAAGTACCGTAAAAGTGCTAGTGTGATGTTTTCCGAACTTCACCTCGTAACCTCTATGAGAAGTGCTATAAAAGTCTTGCCGTTGCGGACATTCGACGGTTGCATGGATATTATAGTTACATTAAAAGTACATCGCATGGGAGCTTAAAGAACTTAATATTGCAGCTTATTAACCTAGATGGG